GCAAACATGGCAAACAGATTTGAAGATACAAATCTCTTAACCTGTGGTGCAACCTCTAACTTTCATTGAGATTTCACAATACACAAAAGAGAAGTAAGCATAGGTACCAATATTTTGAGATCCATCATCTCTAGTATCTATGGTTTAATGCTATACATTATGTTAGGATTCATTTGTGGTAACCCAGATAGGTGAGCCATGAGGGGAGGAAACGGGGAATTGACCTGGTGTTTGCAAGACTAATTAAAAAAGTAGAGTAATAATTGATCATTGATGCAGTCTCAATTGTCTGCAGTAGAAAAAAAACAAGAGAATAAAAAGAATCTTCCTCTCCCCTGTGCCCTCCCACCCTGGAAATAGATCACCAGAAAGTGAGAGGCATAAGCTCAGGATCATTAATATCTTGTCTGCAATTCTGAAAGGGTACCAAGATATAAATGGATGTACATAGAAAATCAAACAAAAATACAAATAGTATGAGGAAAAGGGAAGGTTGTAGGGTGCAATTGAGAGAAGGGTAATTTTTGGTGATACAGTATTCCCATACAGCCACGAGGCAACGGCTTGCTGTTAGTATATGTGATCAAGTTTATAGTGATTTTAGGGGTTCCCTTCTAGGGAACACCTAGAACGTGTGTAAAAGGGACTAATGGGATGGAACATTCCACTATGTGTGTTATTAAAGCATTTACTTCCACCTAGAAGGGAGAGATACCTTTGCAAATTCAAAATGCATGAAAGAGGGTATACACCTGTGAGTTGCACCTCCAACACTGATTGCTGAAGGATATATGAAATGAAACACATATGGTGTATAGACTTGCATTAGTATTTTTATAGTGTTCTCTTTAGATGTTTTTCAAATAGAGCTTATATATATCTGGGTTCATGACATTTTCCACACAGGGAGGGAATATTCCCATGTAAAGGTATTTTCCCATTTCATCATGTAGGAATGTTTGGTAAGTGGACCCTAAACTACCACTATGATTATCTTGTATTTCTGAGACATGGCTTAAATCAGAAAGTTCATGGGAAGAGCAAAGATTTAGAGGTTCAAGAAAAACAAGATTCAAATCAAAATCAGTCAAGGAATTGTCCAGGGAGCTGTAAGCATCGCAGATGGCTCAGCAGGAAGACACATCACCAGATACAGCAACTTTTGCAGGTTCAGACCCAGCTCCTGACATGCACTATATTGCCAAAAGTATTGGGATACCCTTCCAAATCATTGGATTTAGGTGTTCCAATCACTTCCATGGCCACAGGTGCATAAAATCAAGCACCTAGGCATGCAGACTGAAATGTCAATAAAATGACAGAGCGGGGTCAGAGCATGCTGAAGCGCACAGTGCACAGTAGTCGCCAAATGTCTGCAGATTCAATAGCTAAAGACCTCCAAACTTCTTGCGACCTTCATATTAGCACAACAACAGTGTGTAGAACTTAATGGCATGGGTTTCCATGGCTGAGCAACTGAATCCAAGCCTTACATCACCAAGTGCAAAGCATCGAATGCAGTGGTGTAAAGTATGCCACCACTGGATTCTAGAGCAGTGGAGACATGTTCTCTGGAGTGGTAAAGTTTGGTGGAAGGGAATTGTGGTGTGGGGTTGTTATTTAGGGTTTGGGCTTGGCCCTTTAGTTTCAGTGAAGGGAACTCTTAAAGCAACAGCATACTATGACAGTTTGGACAACTCCATGCTCCCAACTTTGTGGGAAGAGTTTGGGGATGGCCCCTTCCTGTTCCAACATGCCTGCGCACCAGTGTGCAAAGCAAGGTCCATAAGGACATGGATGAGTGAGTTTGGGGTGGAGGAACTTGACTGGCCTACACAGAGTCCTGACCTCAACCTGATATAACACCTTTGGGATGAATTAGAAAGGAGACTGAGAGCCAGGCCTTCTCATCTGACATCAGTGCCTGACCTCACAAATACCCTTCTGGAAGAATGGTCAAACATTGCCATAGACATACTCCTAAACCTTGAAGTGTTGAAGCTGTTATAGCTGCAAAGGGTGGGCCAACTCAATATTGAACCCTACGGACTAAGACTGGGATGCCATTAAGGTTCATGTGCGTGTAAAGGCAGGTGTCCCAATACTTTTAGCAATTTAATGTATATGCTGATAAACTGTATGGGATATAAGAGTTTGCAGATGGGAATTGTTAAAAAGGAACTCCATCATAAGTCATATTTTTCTATACCGGGCATACCCAGTACCCCTTTGGATTTAAGTGTGCAGAAGACACTTTTTGAGACTCTGTGATGCTTTTACCCTAAAACAAACATCAATGTCTAGGGTGGATTAGAGTGATTTGTTCCTCATCTTGTAAATAAACAACCCCCTTGGACATAGCTGGAAAAGGAACTCCGACTTGCCAAATCCAAACCTGATACCCACAATACGGTAACTGCTCACAATACATTAACTGCAGTATACATTTTCAGAAATGTAAAATAAGACATGGGTAATGTAGAAAAATTTCTTACACAGTTATAGCAGAATCTCTAAGGTAAAGGTAAAAAAAAATAGTACCTTATTGGCAAATAAACTGAGGGATAGGACAGTCAAATCCACTCCACACACTTTACTCAACTCTATGCACCATTCTTGATCCTTGTAAGAATGTACAAATATTTACTGATTTCTACAATACTTTCTATCATGAAGTACACCACTCCCAGAGCAAAAATGATACTTCATTTGATTAACACATTTTTCAGTAAATGCACTTGCACAGAAACTAATTTGCTCAACAAACCTATAACTGTAGAGGAAATTACCAAATCTATTAACTTCCAAGACTTGATGGTCTAGCATACCTTTACTTTAAAACACTCTCTTCTTCTCTCCTCCCTTACCTGACCACATTATTTATTCTATTCTGAAAAGTGATCCTATGCACAACATGTTACATTTTTATATCTCAGTTTTCCCTAAACCAGAAAATATCCAAAAGACCCAATTAGCCATCGCCCTATAGCACATTTGAACCCCGATCTGAAAATGTTTACTGTTAACCAGTTGATTAAATGTCATTCTTTCTTTTGTCATACAAAAAGATCAAGCTCAGTTCAAAATGAATCAACATTATCGTAGCTACCTGGTGTGTGTGAGGAGAAGTGGAGATGAGCCTTGCCTTTATTGTGCACTTCATAAATTTGCTGCAGACCTTTAGAATGATAAGGTCCATCTTTTCTGAAATCATTTGTCACTATTTTGGGTTTGTTTTGGAGGATAACAAATATCCAATGCCTATGATGTCACCCACAACATATTAAACGCCTAAGGGTAAAACAAATCTAAATGCCTAAGCACAATTCTGCAACGTTGACGTGTTAGTAAAACCGTCCATTTCATTACAACTACTTTGTACATCCAGGTGGATTATACTTTGTTTTTTCAGGACAAATTGGGCTTTCATTTTGGTGGTAAATGGTCATATAGCAAAAAAACTGGGCCAAAATAGTAAAAAAAATCATTTTTTTTAATTTAACTGTGTGTTTCTTGTTACGACCATAACCTACCACCAAAGAACAACCCAAAACACATTCTCCAGTTCTTGACGATCGCAGCGATACCATATATGTGTATGTTATTTGTTGTTTATACCCCGTAGTACAGTCCAGAAACAACAGTGCGCATTTTGTTTTTGTCTTTTTTTTTATTTTTTTTTTACATAAAACACACTGTCACTGACATTTTAACACTAACTGACACGGATACCAATTTTTTGTTTAAATCCTGACCTTTGACCCTGACCTTTGCCCTTGACCCTGACCTTTGACCCTGACCTTGACCCAAACACTAACCCTGGTACTGAAATAGATCAAACCTTTATTCTAGGTATTTTTCTTTCATACCTTTTTAATATTTATTCTCTTTTTTCTTTTTTTTTTTTTTTTTTACAAACTTTTTTTTTATCTCTCTATGTTAGGAGTTCGAGAGATACAATGTATCTCTCTTCTCCATTCATAGAGAGAGAGAAAACAAGGGGGCCGGGCTGCACAGTGATTGATCACTGTGATAGCCAATCAGAGGCTATCACAGCGATCACGTGACCCGGAATCGGGAGTCCCGGGTCCCGATCGTAGAACGGGACCCGGGGCTCTCAGTGACACCGCGGTCTTGGTGCTGGGAGCGCGCCGAGCGGCGCGCTCCCAGCACAAAGACAGGTACGCAAATATGCGGCCCCACGGAAAAAAGCCCAGGTCCGTGAGGCCGCATATTTGTGTTACGTCGCGTCAAGGGGTTAAAGAGCGCTGACTGACCACTCTTAGCAAGGGGTCGCAAGCTTTCCAGTAAGCCTTGCATGAGAGTGGCTATCTCTGGAAGTTTCCTGTTTTCATCACTGCGAGTGGGACTGGTTAATCTTCACTATTATTTCATTTTTAAGGACACAGTTTAACCACTTCAAGTCCAGACACTTTCACCCCCACCCAGCCCAGGCTAATTTTCAGCTTTAGCGCTATCACACTTTGAATGCCAATTGAGCGGTCATGCAACACTGTACCCATATGAAATCTTTAGCATTTTTTGAGACAGATAAAACTTTCTTTTGGTCATATTTATTCACCACTGGGATTTTTTATTTTTTTTTGCTATATAAATGAGAAAGACCAAAATTTTTTTTAAAAAAGTGTTTCTCTTATAACATTTGGCAAATAAATAATCTTTCTTCATAAATCTTGGCCAACATGTATTCAGCTATCTTTTTGGTAAAAAAAAAAAATAACCCAAATCAGTTTATAAAAAAATATATAATTTTTCAAAAAATAGTTTTACATTTTTATTTTTTTATATTATTATTTATGGTTTTTTCACATACTGTCACTCTAGCAGTACAGTGTCACCATTGTTTTTCTTTTTCTTTACACTGATTGCATTTACACCCATAAAGGCTGGAAAAGCAATCATTTCTCTTTCTCTCTGGCTGCATTCCTGCAGCCATTGAGAAATACTGTGAGAGTTGTGATTGGTCACAGCTTGTCACATGGTACAAGGCTGTTGTGCATAGTCTTGTGCAATGTGACCTCTGTGATCATTCACAGATTTCACAAGTAGTAAACAATGATATCAGGAAGTGACATCTTGTTTACTACTGTTCGGGACCTTACACAGAGGCCCCATACAGCGATCTGTGCACAGATCGCAGTGCTATGCGCTCCCTGGGAGTGCACACAGGCAATGAATGGGGGGGGGGTTATAAATGGCTAACCGCATCGGTAGCACTCCCATCCAGCAGTTTATCAGCATGTGCTGGACAGAAAGAGGTTAATCATAAAATATTTCACATGAGATTGGACATTTTGATTACATAACTTTTATTTTGTTAATGTTTTAATGAGTAGAGCGCTGCACTTTTTGTTGTATACATATATGGGAGCGTCCTGGACTCTGAAGCTACCCCATAGAAATCCATGAAGGATCAGTGAGCAGATGCAGCCAGGGGTGATGAGGATTTCTGTCTTATACACATCAAACATTGTATAGAATTAAAATATGACTATAAATATATTTGCATTAACTAATTAATTGTTACAGCATAATTCCACCTATTTGGCCAAATACAATGAGAAAGTTCTCCTCGATGCTCTGCAAAATAAAATGCAGCAACGCCTGCTGTACTCCTCCAATCACCGGGACTGTCCATTGCAGATTTACCAATCCAGATATGTGGTGCTACACCATTTCTAGATTGAATTACACCCAGCATTGCACAACTAATCTAAACCTCGTGATCCCAGGGCATCAACCATGGGGGTGTAGTATTTAGCATTTGTCCAGCATCAGAAAGGGGTAAAGAGAAACTGTGACAACATTGTATTAAAGATACCTGAAAAAAGGTGGAGTACTGGCTGCAAGTGGGTGGGGGTTAAATGCATGGGAGGAGCTCATAAAGGTCATAAAGTTTCAGTGTAAGGAACTCACCTGTTAGGCTTTCATCCATATAGGCATTTGGGATCTCTCTACATCCTGCTAAGCCATTACTTCTTATTTATTAGTTTCTTCCTTCTTAGCTCTGTTTGCTCAGACTTTTCCTTGTCTGCTTCCTAGGGTTAGCAGTTCCTTTGAATTTTTTTATCGGATCTCCGTGTGGCTTTTCTCCACTGGCATACATCAGTCCTAACTTTGTGTCTTCTTAAAAGACTGGGGCATCCTGTCCATCTGTAGGGGTTCCATCTATCTTGCCAATGTATTAATGGGCATCAACACCCTGTCAGTGCCCATCAGTGCCTTCTCATCAGTGGCACCTATCAGTGCAATCTATCAGTAGTCAACAGTGCTACCTATCAGTGCCTCCTCATCAGTGGCACCTATCAGTGCCATCTATCAGTAGCCATCAGTGCCATTTATTAGTGCCCATCAGTGCCACCTATCAGTGCCCATCAGTGAAACCTATCAGTCAAATAAAATATAAACACTCCATAGCACAAATGAATTTAAAATTAAATTAGATACTATAAATAAAAGTCCAAAAAACATTTTTTTCAAAATATATAAATTGTGCTCAATCCCAAAAAAAGTGCTACAAAATTCTTCAAACAAATGTGCTCACACTATCCATCATTAATGCTCTATCCCCACTCACCAGATGGAATGGACTCTTTGCTGATATGGAAAAAGAGTCAAACAAGCTTAAAGCGACTGGGCATGTCCTCCCAGACAGTGGTGGACTGACTATTCAAGCACTTGGGCACTGCCCGAGGGCCCGGGGTCAGTAGGGGGCCCCATGAGATGGCTCTGGTACCTTTCATTGGCTTTTTCATAGGCTTTTTTTGGTGTGGGCAAGGACACAGGGGCCCTATGATCCCCTATTGCCTGGGGGCCCCATGAGTTGTCAGTCCGCCCCTGCTCCCAGATAACTCTGTACTCAATATCTTCCAGAAACGACTCCCACAATTGGATGACAATGAAAAACAAAAATAAGACAAAAAACACAAATAGAGCAATACTGTAAAAAACTCTTTAATTTTAAAAAAAGGCTGCCGTGTTGAGAGCGCACGCCCAGCACATGTGTCCGGTACTCCCGGAAAGGTCCCGATCTCCTCTTTCAATCGGGACCTTTCCCAATCATGTGACCGCTGTGATATCATGTTACGGCAGTCACATGACTCTAAACCCCGCCCTGCTTCCTGGCTTCTGAAACCCTTAAAGGGCTGGGAGGTGGCGGCACCAAGGGGTTAACTAGTGGCTGTGTATGGACTACTTTTGGAAACGTTTTATTTATTTATTTCAGGTACTTAAATAGCGCTGTCAATTTACACGCTTACACATATATATATTATACATTCACATCAGTCCCTAACCCTCAACGGGTGTACAATCTAAGGTCCCTAACTCACATTCATACATACACATATTAGGGCCAATATAGACAGGATGCAATCAGGGGTGGACTGACAACTCATGGGGCCCCCAGACAATAGGGGATCATGGGGCCCCTGTGTCCTTGCCCAAACTCAAAAAAGCCTATGAAAAAGGTACCAGGATCTCATGGGGCCCCCTACTGACCCCGGGCCCTCAGGCAGTGCTGAGTTTCCAAATGGTCAGTCCGCCCCTGGATCCAATTAACCTACCAGAATGTCTTTGGGGTGTGGGAGAAAACCGGAGCACCCGGAGGAAACCCACACAAGTACAGGAGAACATGCAAACTCCATGCAGGAGGCACCATGGTCAAGAATCGAACCCATGACCCATTTACTGCAAGGCAGACATGCTAACCAATAAGCCACTGTGCCGCCCAGGAAATAAGAATAGTTTAGTGCCATTTTGTATCATACTCTACTAAGTCTAGTAGTTGAATGCAAACTTTAAAAAACATCCATCACAAACATCCAGGCACTACCAGCTTATAGTTAGAAGTATGTAGCTGAAGACATGAATAATTAAGATCACTAGCCTAGCTGCTCAGACTATTCCACTAGAACCTTTGGAATGATATCTGAAAAGAAACACACATACTGGAACGCTCTATGGAAAGTGGTGCTGCAATGCAATGCCACCAGTACTCAGATGATCTCACAAGTCAAAGCATAATCAAAATATCCAAGTTTAAAATATTTATTTTGAAGTCAGCAAGTGGCATTGTGAGCCTTTATAAGATAAAAGAATTTATGACAGTGAGCTTATCCAAATACGTACAGTGGAGGCAAAAACATGAGATGTTGCATTCCAGCCCATAGGTGTAGGGAACGCCAGGAAGAGCAGTTGATGCGTGTAGCCTAATACATGTTATATCCAGAGGAGTTCCAAGGAAGTTTTCACAGAGATGGAGATGGAGGAGTTCAACAAGAGTCAGCCACAGACCTGTGCACCAGAAATGACGTCACAGCAGGCTGGAAGTGCAGGAAGAACAGGAAATGCTAGAGGGCTGGGAGGAAGCCACAATCACTAGACCAAAAGAGAGATTTGGATGGCAAGCTACTAGGTTACCATTTCAATATGTTTTGCAGTTCTGCCGCTTTATCACAGCCACAGGGCAACTAAACAAATGGCTATTTATATTAAACTACAGGAAGTGATGTCACAAGAAGGAAGTAAATAATTTAAAGGCATATGACAACATCTCGTTTTGTTGTAAATAATTATGTTCTAACAGAACCTTGTATTGTCTATTATAAACTGTGCCTGTCTGGAATTGATGTTAGAATCCTTACATCAATTCCAAACAGGCACAGTTTATAATAGACAGTACAAGGTTCTGTTTAGAACATAATTATTTTAGAACAATGGCGATGTTGTCATATGCCTTTAAGTGATTTTATTTCCCCCTTGTGACATCACTTCCTGTAGTTTAATATTGCAATTGTATTTATCACATATACTGGTTACCCACATGTATACATGTATATACACATATATATATATATTTGTAATGGTATATTTAACATATTTTCTCAGCTGCCTTATATAGTAGTCACATTGGGGTTGAAAGTTATTATTGTGGGCAAAAACAATAAAGATGTTGTCATATGCCTTTAAATGATTTTACTTTCCTCTTGTGACATCATTTCCTGTAGTTTAATATAAATAGCACTTTGTTTGGTTACCCTGTGGGTGTGATAAAGCAGCAGGACTGCGAAACACGTTGCCAATTCTTTTTTCTTGTAAAGGCTCACAATGCCACTTTCTCATTTCTAAATTAATATTTTAACCTTGGATCTTTTAATTATGCTTTGATTTGTCAGATCCTCTGAGTACTGGTGGCATTGTATTGTGGCACCATCTTGTGGTCACTTTCCATAGGGCACTCTGGTATGTGTGTTTCTATTTGAATACAAACTTTAGCCTGTCTAACATTTGCAAAAACAAATCCAAAACCATCACAACTCTGTGGGTTGATTTATTAAAAGGCAAATAGGCTGTTCATTTTATGAGGGAAATTGCACTTTGCAAGGGAATTTGCCCTAGAGCTTAGTGAATGTGGTGAAGCTCTGCTTATTTCCATTATCTGGATTTTTTAATTCTAATTAAGTGGATTTTTACATTTACCAGTTGTTCTTACCTTATGAGTGATTTATGATACATTATTTGCAAATGTAAGTTTACTAATATAATGTATAAAATACTTTCACTGGCACACAATGCATGTAAGAAAGTATGTATTTCATTATTTGGTAAAGACATTCTAATATGTCTACCATACTGAAAATTACAGGGTTCAATTAGAAATTAATACAATTTTTGTTCTGCATTTTCTTAATAACAATGAGCAAAAAATAATGAGTTCTGGGAAGCAGAAATGCCATAAAGAAAGGTTGTTGGTTACAGTAGCTAATGAGAGGTCAATAGCAATACTGCTCTCAGTCTTTTCCTAATTAGTTCAACAAATGAGTAATAAAATAATCAAAGAAGAATTAAAAGAGCAAAGTAAAATGATAAGTGGGTTTGTTTTTTTCTATTGTAGGGGAAAAGGGGTAGAAAAAGTGCCAGAGTTACAAATTGCCCAACCTGAGTATGATATTTCACATACATTTCACAATGTAACACATTTACATTTAAATGTATGCAGAAAGTAAAGCAGCCTGCATACCAAAGCAAAAACAATAATAAAAATTTACTCCCATTTGGAACTGAATAATGTAATACAAATTGATAAT